AGAATTTTTGGAAGCCAATAAGACTAAACCGAAGTCGGTTAAACAAATACATTCTCAGGACGTTTATAGTAGCAAGCTATATGATACTCAAAAATTTTCCGAAATTTCGAGCAAATTCTCAAAATTAGATTTAAATTAAATTATATGCACTTAGGAAGGTACAGCAGGGATGGTAAAACTGGAGGTCATTTGCCTTTTTTTCAAATGACCTAGGCCATTTCGGACTAAAATTCATAATAAAATTGGGTCATTTGAAGGTCATTTGAAGGTCATTTACCATCCCTGAGGTACAGCTATAAAACTTCTTCTTAGTTATCAAAAATTCTACGATATTTAATCCCATTATGCTACAGTGATAATATTTCCTTTCCACTTAATATATGAATTTTAATTGTTTTTTTTATCGTTTTGGTGGCGTGTTTCTTGGGAGCAGTGTTAAAAATCTAATATTATCAAAGTTCTTAAGAAAATTTAAAAAATTTTAAGACCCTGCGTTTAAAATCATAATTTCTTTTGAGAACAGACTAAGAACATGAAATTATAATTTTTGTTCTCGTGAGATATATATGAATTGGCATAATTAGCAAAATTGAGCTTTTTATTTATCATTAAAAACATTAAAAAATTTTGAAACCATAAAATTTTCAATTATATTCTCGAAGAACAAAAAATTTTTCAGATCCTTTTCACTGCTTGGAAGTAAGAAATTTTTAAATTAATTTTATCATCTTTTTTGAATTTTCTGTCTCAATATCCTTTGAAGTATTTTATTTACTTTAACTTTAATAAAAATATAAATTTTGATTCTAAAATTGGTTGAGAATTACCAATGTGCTAATCAACTTAACAAAGCAATTTTTCATAAGATAGTTATAAACTTTGTATCTAAATTAAATACTGAAAAGCTATACTATCTACGTATTTAATTATAGATTACATGCTAAAATGGTCTCTTTTTTTTTTTTTGAATTGGCTTCTGGATCCATCTTTAGCAGTTATCAATCGTACTAACCAATATTAAAACACAGTGTATTTCAAGAAACAGTAAAAGTACCTACTTCTGTAGCTAAATATTAAGCAAAACCTGGAGGTTTTGCGTTGACAAAGGTCGAAACCTAGTTTTGACTTTTATCAAAAAATTTAGAAAGGGAGAAATGCGAAACTGGTGAAACTAACGAAACTGATGAAAAGTGACAAATCTTACGAAAGATTCTGAAATAAAAAAATAAATACAAATATGATTTGCAGACCTAAGAGTTTAATTATTCACAGAATTTGAAGACTCAATATAATAATTTGTCAATGATATTTGTTTACATAATTAGGCACCGTTATCTTGATAAAAACGATTAAAAGAAAAAAATTGATTAAAAAGATGAGTTTGAAATTGTAAGAAAAACATGGATTATAATATCTGTAATTCGAATGTTTTGCTGCGATGAAGTTTTTTATAAATTCAGCTGCTTACAGTATGGTCACATTTATTCGAATATCCAATCCTTTACAGCATGGCCAACAAAAACTTTGAGTACATAATAGTTGAAAAATGCTTTAAAGTTTGTTCAATAGATTAGCATTTATATTCGGATTATGTATGGGCGGTTTAGCTAGTAAACTTGCTCAAAAAACCTTTTTTGGTGTTCGAAAGGCTTTTTTTTTTATATTAATTTAACTAATATTATTTTTACAGTATTAGTGCAGATATTAATCAAACACTTTAATTGCTATGACAAGTACTTTGTCCGTTACTTTTTCAACATCCTTTAAGAGCAACCTTTGTAAAATAGCTTATTTTTTTAAAAAAATGAAAACCAATCTGCCGCTATCGATACCGATATGAATTGAGAATTTATTTATATACTGGTTGTGGATAAATAATAAATTATAGCTTGCAATTATTTTTTGATCATCATTCTGAATCCACTTACCATTTTAAATTAAAAACAATTTAAACAGCAATACGCATATTGTAAGCCTATTTAGGCATATATTCTCCATCCGGAAAGCTGACCACTAAAATTAAATCAACCAGAGCATCTGATCAAAAAATTTATTAGTGACGATTGGTTTCGCCCAGGGACTCGGAAAAAATGCGATTTTATTTATAGGATTTTCAAATTCTATAAATAAAATCGCACACTTTCCGTGTCCCTGGTTTCGCCATAACTGGGTTAAAAAGCTTGCTCAAATAGTTCAATTCTTTAACGAATGATTGTGAAACGTAACAGTATTGTTCAGAAATCTACGAATTAACACGTTATTTTTAAATTTACACTCTACCCTCGTTATAACGGACTACGATTTCTTATTACAGTAGTAATTTTCTAAAACAATTTAAAATTATTATTATTATATTATATAACATTATAACGGATATTCATTTAAAATGGATATAATGGACAAAATCTTTCAGCCCAAAGGGTCCTTTATAACGAGGATAGAGTGTACAATTTGATTAGTTTAAGATATCCCGTGATCTTGATATAGTGATCGGGGTATTTTTATCATCAATTTACTGTTTGTGTAGAGAAATATATAAATAAAATTAAAATTAAATTGTACCTTTAATCATCTATTCATTCAATATGACATGAATTTTTTTTTAAATATGAGTAATCGAAAAATCAAAGGCGTACTATGAATCGTTCGAAATATAATTGTTTAACATTTTGTGAAACTCTACAAGTCACATGAACACCAAAGTTAAGTACCTTTACGGTAGTTAAAGTTAGAAATTGAAGAGCTGAATATTAAAGCCTAAATCATAATTCGCTAAACAAATTTATCATATTAAAAATTTTGCATCATAATTAATCAAGCTCATCAGAATATGGAATATGGTCGCACTAGATATTATTCTACTTGGCGCTTTTATCTTCCTAAAATGCCGTAAAATTTAACACGACCATTGCACGCGACTAAAAGTAATCCAACGACCCAAGAACAAAGTGATTGAACAATTAATAAAACAAGAAATTCAAAGTAACAGCAGTCACAACAGAACAAACTGCAAAATTAAGAGCTGTTCATGTTATACACTTTGCGCCAAACGTTGCGGATGGATTATGTGGGGAATGCATAACCGCTAATGTGAACTATCTAAAATAATCAATGGGCCTTTGTTTTTTAATAACTAAACTTTGTTGCTACATCAAATTCGTATTATTGTATTGTTTAAATCCATTTAATTTTACGAGATCAAATATAAAATGCTCGAATAATTATTAAAATGCATATGCTTTTAATTTTTATCTTATTAATTTTTTTTTTTTATAATGATCATCAAAAATGAATAGGATATTGATGAGGTACTGTACCTTCGCTTCAAGCTTAATACTTATTATTTCACAGACTGCGCCTATAGATCTATTTGAAAGATTTAAGCTGGTTATACTGTCCTGGATTTGGGGAAGACTGTTTTCGTAAACTTGCCACGTAATATTTTGGATTAATTTTTTAATGAAAAGTTTTGACATTTGAAGCTAATAACATTTTTTTCTATTTATAGCAGTATTACGAAATCTTCGATGTCTCAATCTTAATGGTGTACAGTTAACACATTGTACAAGTAAACCTTTTAATTCGGAATTTAGGAATGTGGGATTCATCCAAGATGCGACTTTTTGACCAGAATGTAACGAAAATCATGTCAATTTAAAAACATGGTTGAGCTTATATTAATAGAAGCCATTTGGCATTGGTCAATTTGGATCGAAATGGATGTGCAAAGGTAAAATGTGATAACTTTTTTTAGTAATAATTAAGGTTTTTAAATAGTATAGCTTATACGTATTTGTAGAGTACAAATCTCTTATCATTAATTTTCTGTATTGTGAGGAATAATAGACAACATATTACAAAACATTTCTGATAAATATTTCAGGGCTTAGGTGTTACTTTTTTTTTTTCTTTTAAAGTGTCTTTAATCTTAATATACATTCTTTAAAGAATTGCTATTAGTAAAAAATGAACTTGATTGGTTTTATAAATACAACTGATTCAGAAGTTATGCACCTTGCAGGAGCTAAAAGGTTAGATCACCGCATACGTCTTTCTTGAATTTGGTAGTTTGTAGTGATGAATATTTCGATGTTTAAAAAAGTCCTATATTTGAAATGATGAAATTCATTAGTTATGTGTATAATTGTTGAAAAATCTCAATAAATTAATTATCTTACAATATGAGATGGATTTTTTATAAGGCAACCCTCAAAAAACCGGGTTGGAATGCATCAGAACTGGCCTGGTATTAAGCAATATTACCCAACTACGTCTATAGAAAATTATCAGCTGGACATTTAATGAATGTGCTACGACTTTATTTGGTTGTTACACTATATGCGTGCAGAGAAATATAAAAAGATTACAAAATTTCATTTGGATGCTGCAATTAATGAACTAATCAAAAACGTAACTTTTATCATATGCAATTATATAACTTTCATATGTTATAAAACTTAAATTTTAATATAAATTTTAAAGAAAGAATTAGCCGATATCTCGAAATTTTACTAATGTGTTACTAATAAAAAATGTTCCTCTCGTAATTTTACCCTAATCCCAACCATAATTCTTTATTTTTATCCTAACAATTTATTTATTTGACTACTAAGCATATCATTACATTTGCTAAATTTTAGATAACTATTAAATAAATATTATTTATAATTATAATTATGTATAAATTATAACTGTGTAAGTCTACATTGGTTTATAGACCTATGTATAATTTTTAAATAAAATAAACATAAAATATTTACATAACTCTACATAAAAACAACTTCGTGATGAAAATTATTGGTACAAAAAATATAGAAGTTTTTTTGAAAACTAACAAATCTCTCATCGTCTAATATTCTCTTAAGTTCGGGATTGATATGATCTGGTGATTTAAATTATCTTGGATTGATTATAATGAGTTCACAATTAAACTGGAACTGGAAAAAGGAGGATTCGCTATTTGAGTAAAAAATTCATATGAAAATTAAAATTCATGAAATTTATTCTGATAAATATAATCTTGAAACTTCGTTATTAAGTCTTCTTAAATCTTCATGAATTTGTTCAACCTTATCAATAATTGTTAAAGCTTGTTCTCTTAGAGGTTGAATGTCTTGAACTGATACGTTGTAATCGGTAATTTTAATCACGCCTCGGGTGCAACTGTATATTGGGCACGTTGGTTCGATAGAATTAATAGTACGTGGCAGGATGTTGCACTTAAAGTGATGCATGATTCAAACAAAAATGAGCAAGAATTTATCCAGAATTGAGGAATTACTGTGAAATTGGTTACGAGAATCCTTCATTTATAGATTGTTTTGGAGTGTCAAGAAATAATTCTGGCGATTATATTATTGTTATGCAGATTGCACCATACACGACCCATTACGATATGCTCGTTCTCTGTCCCATCTGGAAACGTGAGATATTCACAAAGCTTCTTCTTAAAACCTTCCAATGTCACCATTTCTCGGCTCACTGTCCATTGAAAATTCGGGTGGTGCGCATTTCACCGACAATCACTTCACAGACAGCTTAGTTCGTGCAATTTATAAAAAATATGTGAATTAATTGTCGGTGAACTAAGCTGTCTGTGAAGTGATTGTCGGTGAAATAATACGTATCCGAAAATTCACACTCTTACGCCCATACGTTGCGGTGCAGTGAACTTCTTTCGTCTCAACAGGACGCTGTCGGTTGGCTGGGAGGTAAAATGTTTATTAATCTTCGATAGTGGAAGGTTCCACACCATCAAGCTCCTCCTTGTGGATTCGGTGTAATGTCTAATTCTGGTCCAAACTTCATAGTTTGGGTTATAAAGTAGGTCTCGGCTTACTTTATAAACATACATATGTTCTAGTTCACAAAACCAAAGCTCTTCCCTGATATTAACGTTTATTTTTGTGTTGACGAGCTCAAGTTTCTTTTTTTCTTCTTCAAAGGAAATGTCGGCCTTCCATAGCCTAATGTCGTTATGGGAAACGTTCACAAACTTAGGGTGAAGCTCCTCTTTGATAGCTTTCTTGAGATGTCCAATAGTCTTAACTTTATTAGTATCAATATCAACTGGAAAAGAATTTTCGTAAGGGTTTCCACCTATGGCCAAACAACTGAGTGTGATGGTTGACATAACGCTTTATAGGGATATTTAAGTCGGATAAAAAATAGTGTTAGGTTCCGGAATGAAATAAAAATTTAATTCTGGGGAAAAGCGTTAATATATGATTTTACGTCGCACAGCGCACAGACATTGCATCATTACACGTGACTAGAGATGTGCCATGCACATTATGCATGTTATATTAGGGTGTTACCTCAGCTAAATTTTTTTATAGGCCGTACGTATATTTAAAAATTAAATTAAATTTACATCTATTAGCACAAGCATCTAACAAAAGTATATATAAATTTTTTTTTAACTTGAAGCTCTCAACTAGCTCTACATGGTAATAGAGCTATTTTTTAAATAATTTTTTTAAAAAATTTCGTAAAAATTAATTAATTAATTAAGTATTTAATATTTATATAATAATTGAACGGTTTTTATAAACTATTGAAAAAGTAGCTCTATTACCATGTGGAACTAGTCGAGAGATTCAAGTTAAATAAAAATAAACTTTCATTAGATATTTGTGCCAATAAATGTAAATTTAGTTTTATAATCATTTTTATAATCATTAGCATAAATCGTCAAAAAAACTGATTAACGGTCAAGTGTAATGTCAGAAAATTTTCAGGGTAATTATTTAATCCAGGAATCTACACATATAAAATTTATAACGATCTATAGGTTTTGTAAAAAAAAAGGACAGTTTTCACTTCTAAGCTAACATTTATATCATACAATATAACCAATATTCTTTATTATAATAAAAAATTTTGTTATTTCATATTTATATACTATCTATATTTTTTTCCTTTACGTCAAAAACCTTTGAAGTATCTTATTTTGAAAATGGCGTTTTGATACAATCGACGAAATCAATCTCAAAATTTGATGGGTTGGCATTTACGTTATTATCACATTATTATCTATATAAATTCAATACAGAAAAATAATGGCAATAATTTAACATTTAATTATTCTCAGCTATCTATTTTATTGAATATAGATTTAATTGCCATAACATTTAAAGATATAAACTGAATTCGTTTTCAGACACGTTCGAACCCAATCATTGCTTAGAGGTTTTTTTTTTTTACCTATATTTTTATGATTACAGTTTCAAAATAAAATGCGATTTTGATTTTTATTAATATAAACTAATTAGTTTGCTACCACTATTTGCATTTATGTCAAAGTTTCAATTAAAAATTTCAGAGCTCTTCTCCTGATCGCTTTTCTGAATCCCTAATCCAACATTGTTTCACTTAACATATTTTTTGTAGTACGTACGTATTACTGTATTATTTGATATTCATTTGACTTATAATAATAATTACATAATACAGCTTTACCGTATCGTACAATGGCATTCAATAACTACATATATATTACAGTATTACGTAAAACAAATCCTTATTCGCAGCTAACCGCATAATGATCGTCTATTCGCAGTTACTCGCAGACTTTAAAAGGATTACACAAACTCAAATATATCGATATCAATAAGATTAAAGTTATGAATATACTTATCGTTTAGCTTGTAACACTTTATAGTGCAGAATACAACTACGTATACATAAATAGTACATTGTGTTTGTTAATATTCTACGTATAAATTACTTTTGTTCATTAACAAAAGATCTTAATTGAATTTTAACCTACAACAATGAGAGATTTAGAATTAGTTTTACCGACTGCATGGGATATTGAAGATAAATTACCATTTATTGAGGTCGTCTAAAGCCGGGTAGTCACGTGACCACCAGCCACTGTGGATCTTCCCCAGCATCGCCACCAATTTTTTTCGATCACGTGATACCGGGCAAAATTTTTTAAGTTCGTTAATGTTAGGGTTAGGGCCTACGACAAGGTTAGGGTTATGAGGTTTTATAGTAAAATTGTTCAAGGAATTTTTTTTGTTAGAGCACGAAAGGTTGTTTCTTATGTAAATTTTCAAGCTATTGACGATTTTTGAAAAAGCGAACGTTTGTTTTGATCTTTCTGATTGTGCTACGTTACACCAAGGTGTGATCCACTATTGGATAATTTTCACGTGATCGAAAAATTTTGTTAGTAATTTGGTGGCGATGCTGGGGAAGTTCCACTGTGGCTTGTGGCTGGTGTAAGCCATAGTCACGAGGCTAGTGTTAACCCTAAGTGGCTTGTGTGGCTTACATGGTGAGTGCTTCGCCACCGCCCACAAAATCACTAAAGCCAGGTAGTCACATGATGCTAGTGTTATCACTCATATGTGTGCCAAGGGCTTACACATCGATCTACATGTCCAAATTAAACATTGCCGGTAATTTCCTTATAAAGCAATTTTGCTATAAATCCGTAACATTGGTCATATTAATGGAATGTTTGGATGCTCAATAAATATTTGGTCAATTGTTCCAAACAATTCAGTCTTTTGATCGTATTATACATTATTTTTAATTTGCCAAATCTTTAATTGGTATTGTTCCTTCTTTGTCTTGAGTTTCATAAGTGAGTAAACAAAGTTTTGATTTTTTAATAGTTTCATAAGTCCGGAATCCGATATTTTTTTGAGTGTCAGATTTTCCTTTAATATCTTGGATGCATGCATTCGGTCTTGAGGTCAGAATGCTGCTAAATACTTGTAATTATAATGGCCATTAAGAAGTCTATTGACTCTATTAATTTTATTCTGTATCTGGCCTTTTTCGTATTCAAGGTGTTTTTTGTATTTTTCTATTTGTAGAATTTTAATTCTTGGTGTGGTTTCTACTTGTTTATGATGAGTAGTAAATTTATGGTCTGTCATTATTGGTAATTTTTCTTGAATTTCATCCTCATCTGCTAAGCTTTCTATTTCTTCATAAGGGTACTTAGCTTCGTAATTTATATAATCATTGTTGAATTGTTCTTCTTGTTGTACTTCTTGCATTTTGACAAAGTACTGGTGTATTCCGTCAAATATTAATTCTAATGGTTGTTTTATCATTGGTATAAGGGTTAATTTCTTTACTTCATAGTAAGTATACCATTCCCATGGTGTTGCTTCTTCTGGTTTGCATTGTTTTAGTTTTTGAAATATGTTGCATGGATAAATGAATACGGTTCTTCGTATTTTGTATCTTGCTTCTGTTGGTGAGCAGTATTTCTCTGCTACCTATTCTTGTGAGCTTGGTTTAAATTTAGTCCATACTTTGATAAGTAATTCCTTTTCCATTAAAATATTGGCTTCTTCTAAACCTTCTCTTATTGCTGTGTATTCATCACTTTTGCATAGTTTTCCGTTTAAATCTAATTCTCCCTTTCCTCCGTATCCTTGGAAATGATTCCAAAATACCTTTTTTGGATTAATTCTTTTAGATAATCCTATTTGGTATCCTTTTTCTGAGTGATACCTAAATGGTGCGGTTTGTATAATTCTCTGTTCTGGTAATTCTAAATGATTTATTAAAGATTGTGCTAGGAATTCTAGTTTTCTACATGTATTACAATTATTATAATAAATTTCTTGGTCATTTTCTATTTCTTTGTATTGTTCCATTTCTTGGAAATTATTGCAGCTAGTGCATTTCCATATTATCCCTTATTCTGGATCATTAAACTTTGGTAGTTGTTCCATTTTCTTCGTTTAATTGTTGTATTGTGAATTTTACAAATTCTAAATTATAAATTTCTTCTTCTAACAGTTCTTTTTTTTTAGTAATTTCAGTTTCTTTTGTAATTTGTATTCCTTTTCAGTTTGTCTTTGTGAATTTAAGGTTTCTCTCCGATTACAACTTTTGCAGCATCATAATTCTATATCTTTGTCATATTTCTTTGAGTACTTTGAGTATTCTTCTAATTTTCTATAGTGTCTGCACTTTGGGCAACGTTTTTCTGTAGTTCCTATTTCAGTAACTCTTTTCATAGTTTTGAACCTTTTAAAATTGTTTCTACAATTATAACAGGTTTTTAATCTCTTTAATTCTTTAATGAATACAGATTGTTCTTGTAATTTTGCACAGGTTGAACAGCAGATTAAATATTTAAATGAGAATTTTCCTTTATCGTCTTCAATTATTTCTACTGATTGTTTCTGGTAAAAGCGTTTAATGCCTTCTCTGCACTTGTCACAGGTCTTATTTATAATTCTGTTTTTATTTATAGAATAAGTTCTGTTTGGTGTTTTGCACTTGCAACACCTTTTGGCTGTTTTATCAAAATTATACTTTCTCTTTGTTATCTTTTGTTTAGTCATTAATTTTTCTTCCAAAATTGTTTATAAAATTCCTTAAATTCTTGGTAACTCTTCACTTCCCAATATTGGTCACTTATACTATGATTTGCTACTTTCCAATATAAGGTAATTAGCATAGATTGCAGTCGTGATTGTAATCCTTCACATATCCACTTTAATCTTTCTCTTTCGTTGTTGACAAAAGTATATCTTCTCATATTTGGGTTATGGTTTAAATATTCTGTAGTGTTATCGACTATTTCTCTAGATGCTCTAATCAGGTAATTTAGGTGATTTGTTCCTAATTCTTTGTGGAATAAAGAAAATAAATTGTGTGGGTTGTGTTCTGCTTCTTGTCTTAATATTTCTTCTAAGAATTCGTCTTCTAAATCTTTTCGTAATTCGTGAAATTTCTTAACTGATTTTTCAATTGTATATTCTTTATGTGGTAAATTTTGAAATCCTTTAAGTTCATAATATAGATCAAAATACTTTACTATGTTAATACGTTTCCACTTGAATTTCATTTATTTTTGTTTGTTTATTTTGTTTAATGCTTTGGATAATGTGTTTAATATTGAAGTATGTGATTTCTTCAATTGCTTCCAAATCCTTTCTCAATCATTCTTTAAGTCGTTTTCAATTATCTAATACCTTGAAGTTGATTTCTTTGGATATTGATTCTTGGTAATATTGCTGTTGTATGTGTCATAACTTCTTCTTTAATTTCTTTTTGAGTTTAATATTTTTCATTTGTAATGGATCAAGTCATTTCCTTGCATGTATGAGAATTCGTGCCAGATATAAGCTTCAGATTGATCTAATGTATAGTTGAAATTATCTAGCAAAGTGATAATATAAAAATCTTTATTTGCTAAGGATGCTTGAAGTTTAGTTGTGGTTTTCTCGAGCTCTTTGTTTCCTATAAATGTTCCTTGGTGTATAAGTACTTGGTTTGGTTCTGTGGTTGTTAGATTTACTACAAAATGTTCTATTTCTGAAATTTCTTCTCTGAATTGTGAATAAGGGTGTGTGTCTTTATCAAATGATACAAATATTTGATTTCGTTGTATGTCTGAAATTCTTTTAAAATGCCCTTTAGTTGTGGATATTATCTATACTATGAATTTACTAAATACTGGTTCTTCGGATAGTTGGATAAGTCGTATTTTCGCAGTTATTTGTGACTTTATTACCAAAATTGAGTTTGTTTCAGATAAAACTGGTATATTATTATTGAAGAGTTTTTCAATTCTCCAATCTAGATGTTATAGTATTTGATGTTTCTTAAAGCTGACACTGTAGTATTTAATTCTAACTGGTTCATCAGAATATGCTATTACTGATTCTTCTTCACTTTTCTCAGATATTGGTGACATAGTTGGTGTGTCCACTATTAGATTTTCAGTTGGTACCTTTTCTGGTTCAATAAAAGTTTTGTATATTGATTCCAATTTTGTTTTATAAAGTTCTATTTCTTTGTTAGAATATGATAAATTATTCATTGACAATTTCTTGTGCTAATATTAAACAATATGCTTGTAGGGTTTTTAAATATATTTCAATACTTGTAGCGTTAATTGCTAATTCTTGGTATGCAATTTTGATAGTTTTATTCTTTTCTTTTAAGTTAAAGTAACTTTGGATTTGTTTTAGAGTTACTAAGTAATTTTCTAATACTTGGACGTGTTTTAATAGGTTGATATAGGTTTGGACTTTTATTGGTCATGATATTTTTGTAGTGCCTTATGATAAGTTCCTTCTAGCAATTGCTCTACTGTTAGTATCAAATACTGTCCTCTGTAGTATTGTCTTAAATCACTTCCTGGTATAAGTATTTTTATTATGTCGTGAACTCTGTTATAATATTGTTTATGATAATGTTTTCTTCTGAATTCTATCCTAATATTTTAGTTCTTGCAATTTCTTCAGGGTCTTTATCTAATGAATAGATTTCGATATAATCTAAATACAGAGTTTGGGCATTTTTAAGCCAAATAGAATATTCTTTTGATTCGTATGCATTATTTATTTCTAATAGTTTTCTCTCCTTTTTCCAAAAGTCGTCAGCTATTTTCTTAAGTATGGTTTCTTTTAGGAAATGTAATAAGTGTTGGGTCCTTGCTTCTATTTTGTAAAAAGTTAAAGTTTGTTTATAAAGCAACTCTGATCTTTCTTGTGGTGGTAAATATTCTAGATGGGTGATGTAATCTCTTGTTAGTCTTTTACAAAATCAATAAACTTTTTCTTCGTAGTTATTTTCTATTTAACTAATAGATTTGCTATGTTTTCTATTTTTGCTTGAAAAAATAAAATATCCAGTTATCTGGTTTAGAACTTTTAATTCTTCCTCTTTGTCAACGATTACTTTAGCTCCTTTGTTGAATAATATGTCTTCTGCAATAAAGATATTAAAATATAGTAGTCTTTTTAAATCTTCTGATATTTCTAATGCGTTACAAAATCTTTCTCTTGTAAGTTTCAGTTGTAAAGCTGTCACAGTTAATCTTTCAATTCGTTTCTTTTCTCGATCTAGGTTATTATTTGTTGCAGATGTGTCAAATGGTTTATATTGCCCTTGACTATTGGTTAATAAATCATTAAAGATTATATTATTGACAGCAATTGCATGTTGTATTGCTTTCAAGGTTGTTCCAAGTCTCCAATTGTTGGTTGGGTTTACTCTTGCAATTAAGTTTGCTAGAGTTATTTCAATATCCATTTGTATTTCTTCAATTCCTCTTTGGTGCAATATTTCTTCATGAGGGTTTATTACAAATCTATTGGTATTCCTAGATATTGGGTTATGGTTCCAAAAGAATCTAAAAAGTGGGTTGTTAATATCAATTTCCTTTAATATTTGTTCCGGGTATATATCCCACTCTGGATGTTCAATATAAATTTGATCAACTTCTTGTTCTTGGTATAAGTCATAAGTATTTCTTGTTTCTTGATTGAAGAATTCTTTGATAGTTTTTTTAATTATTGAATAAACTATTCCTATTAGGTAGAATAATAATGAGATTTAGATGTTTCTGCCTCTTCTTGAGATTA